ATAATTAAATATCTTATATTTTAAAATCGAAATGTTATGAAAAATCTCTCATACTGAAGAAGAAAATAATTCTTATATAAGTTGTTTTATATTTAATATTCCAATCTTCATGCAATGATATCAGAAGTTTTTAAGCAATTCTGCACAAATTACATACAGTTTTAAACAATCAATGATTTTTGACTCGTTAAATTTTTTCAATATTTCTTTTCCATTTTTAATTTCATTAAATTAAAATTATATGTAGATTACAGAGAATTAAAGAAAAGTACATTCACTTTAGATGCAATGTGTAAATGCCTTAGAATTCCACTAATTCATAGATTAGAGAGGAAAAACATTGGAATACAGGTATAATATACGAAACATATTTTAATATCAGACCAGACAAGACTTGGAGCAGGCCATGTTGTGAAAGACATTCAACAAGGCATAAATATATAGATATCCATTTTAAAAAAAATTTAGAACTATTTATTAAAAACAATCATTTTAAGCAGTTAATTCTGTGATTAATATTTTATTTGATTTTTGTTGCGTGCGCATTCATTCTTTCAATTTTTATTTTGTGATTAATATTTTTTTGATTTTTTTTGCGCATTTATTCTTGTGATAAATTATATAAAAAATGCTATTTTTTAAAAATTAGAAAAAATTATTAATATTTTTTGTTTTTTATTCTGCATTAATTAAATAGGTATATATGTTAGCGGCAATGTGTTTTTTCCGACAATGTGTTTTTGCCGGCAATGTGTTATTTTTTCAACTTTAAAGCAATTTTTAAGCGCGTTTTTTTAAATTTAAAAATCTGATTTTACCGGAAATGTACTCAATCATGCTTGGAATACCTACCCTAAGAAATTCAGATAATTTTATCATGAGCTTTTAAACCTAATATATTTTATATTATTTCTTCCATAGATTTTTCATATAAATTATAATTAACTCAAAATTTAAAGGTAAATTTCTCTACAATTCATAAGATAGGTATTCCAAACATGCTGGAATTCATTTCCGGTAAAATCAGATTTTTAAATTTAAAAAAACGCTCTAAAATATTGTTTTAAAGTTGAAAAAATAACACATTGCAGGTAAAAACACATTGCCGCTAACATATATAATTATTGCGTTTTTTTATATTTTTTTTAAATTCAGTCGTACGTTTCTATGGGACTTTTAAAATAATGAAAATATATCAAGTAAAGTAAATATTTTACTTTGAAGAAACAGTAATTGTAAACAATATAATTTTTACATTAATATTTAGTATTTAAATTATAAATAGTATAATTTTTACATTAGTATTTAGTATTGGACTTTTAAAATAATAATAGTGTATATTCAATGAATGATCTAATACAAGATAAAATTTCTTACTTATTTATCTAACAAATTGCATTGTGTAAACTTATTTCCCAATTCTGCTTCCCTCGATTCACAAAATAGCCAGAAAAAAAAAATTAAAAAGAAGAACATAGGTTCTCAAAATAATTTTTTTTAAATATCATAGGCTTCGCAACTAAGAGTAGTGTTGTTAAAAGGCTCGTTTAGAGACCGTTTTTAAAAATAGCTAATTCAATTTTTTAGCAAGAAAAATAGCCTAAGTCTAGAGATTTCGATAAAATCTAGACCTTTGTTCCTTCTATTAGCAAAATCTTCAGGTTTTCCTAATATTTTTCTGGATGAAATATGGAGTTAGCCGTTTTTAAGAATCGGCTCAAAACGAGTCGCTTAACAACACTAATCCTAAGAGTCATATTTTAGAGGATTTGAAACGAAAACTCATCCATTCTCTTTAATAGCGTATATGTTCTCAAATAATAGAAAATACCAAAAAAATTCCTAATTCTGCTCTATATATCCTAATAAAGAAAAGAAGTAATTTTAACCAAAACTTCTACAAGAAAAAAAAAATGCTTTGGTAGAAAGATAATCTTTGAAAACCAAAAATTGACAAATTAAAATTTATTTTTTTAAACAAATTAAAAATTACGGCTTTTTTTATAAACGAATCCAGATAATTTATATATATTTAAATAAAAAATAATGTTTCGTGGAGATTAATACCATGTTTTTTTATATACCTTCCATTTATTTACATCGATATAATTTCCATATATAATAGTTATAATTCTAATTCTTTTAAAATTTTGACATCCCCTCTCTCTGTTTTCTGGAAATAATTTATCGGATAAGATATATTTGTAGTTGTTTATACGAGAAGGAAAAGGAGAGAATTATGGAAATAAATCATTAGATCTCCACTTTTATCATTGGTTTAGAAAAAATTTTGTTAATTGTTGATTATCTTGTATATCATTATTTATAAACTCTTTCTTTATGTTTGTGTGATTCAAACTCCGTGATTTTTTTCTTGGAGAATTGTAAATTCTCTCACCTTAGATTATTTAATATACAATCTTCACTCTACCATCCTCCTTATCATGATTCTCACCGTTAGATGGCCTCAAAGAAAATTAAATGGCATTTTAAAAATAATGAGACCCGTATCAAAACATAGTATTCTAACCCCACTCCTAGATCGGCTTTGGAGACCTAGAGCAATTGTTAACAATTACTTTACAAATCTTTTACTCCATGTCCATGTTTAAAATGTTATAAAAAGGTTGTCGTCATAATATCCCCCATCTAACAATCAGCTGATAAATTCAAGGGGCGAAAACGCGGCGGCTAGAAATGGCTAAGCTCAGACCCCTCAACTTCTTTTTGTATTTTTACCCTCCCAAAATTTTGAAAAGTGGTTGAGTTCACCCGCCAATTAAATTTTGATTCTCTTTCTGATTTTTATAAAGTCAAAAAATACATTTTTTTTTTCTTTCTTTTTTTCATATTTTTCTTTTTAAATATTTTTCTTTTTCATATTTTTAATTTTATTTTTTTTTTCCTTGCATTATTATAATATATCTTCTTTTATTTTTAAAATTAAAACATAAACATTTATATATAACTATTATTGAAATTAAAAAATATAGATTTTAAAATAAAAACAAATAAGGATATATTAAAAATTAAATATATTTATAAAAAAATATATTAGTATAAATAATCTAGGAAGAAAAACGTAAGAAAGAACTAAGATTAAAAATCACCCTAGAGAAGTGAATGCTTAATCCTGCTGACGTAAGTAAAGTCCTTCATTGGGATCCCCTGAGATCTACATATCTAATTTTTTTTATCCTATGGTTTTAATGAAATTGAAGGCCTCACTTCCGAACACAACCCTAGGGTTTATTGGTAACGATTGGTAATGATGAACACAGTGTTGATTGGGGCCAGCTTATTTGAAAATAAATATTTTGATTTTTAATCTTATTTTATACAAAAAAATTGTTAAAAACCAGAACAAAGACTATACATGGTGGGGAAGAAAGATAATAAATTGACAATGATGATATACGTTTTTTTAAAAAAATTTATATTTTGATTTCCCTCAGACTCACTTCTATTATTGAAATATTCTGTGGAAGTTGGATATCATTTTGACCCGATGAATAATTTAAACATCAAATTTTTTTATAATTCCTCATATAAATTTTACTGCTTTGTTAACTCATCCAATAAGGTCCATTCACCCTAAAAAGTCTAAATAGTTAAGGCAAAAAACTATCATCCTATAGTTTCGATTGAGGTATTAAATCATTTAAAGGATAGCTTCAATATTGATAAAATATAATCAACTGCCTCAAAAGCCTAGCGTATCTTTGCTACTGTTATGTATGAGCTAATCTTAATAGTAACCAGAGTAAAATTAGTTACAATTTTAAACAAAATCTTTTTAGGAAGATTGTATTAGTTAATTAGGGTTTAAACCTTTCTACTTAAAGAAGAAATCAATAAATTAGGAATTTACCAGGTTTTCTTCGATGCCCTTCTACCAACTACACTTTTTATTGTCGATTTAGCTGATTTTTAAATACATCTAACCAAATATTTTAGCTTAGAAATATGTTGCCCTTAACCTTGAGAATTTCTCTGATAGATCTACAAAACCTTGGTATTATCAAAATCTTCAGGTTTGCTTAAATATTTTAATAAGCCGTTTTAAACAACACAAAGTTTTCACATTTAAAAAAAAAATACTTAACTGTGTCGAATATATCATATATACTTTATATTGCAGTATATACTGACGTGTGTGAGGAGGCTTTCATCTCACGAATTCGATGAATGATGATAAGTTAATCGAACGAATCTAGAGTTAACAATTTTCCGCGCCTTCGATATCGGAGCGGATTCCGGATTCCATATATCAAAATATGGCATGAATTACCGCGGAACGAAAAAATTCCTTCCCCCTTCTCCCGCCAAATTTTTAGGGCAAAACACCACTGCTAAGCCAATAACTTCAAAAATTTGCTTATCATGTTTTGAGGACAAGATAAATTGTGAAGAATAAATACGATTTTTTTTTAAAAAAAAAAAAATTTTTTTTGATATTAAAAAGTGTGTCTTTTCTTCTGATATTTTATAAAAATTTATTTTTTAAAACGGATTTACAACCATTTTAAAATATATTCGATTGGTGTTTCATTAGTGAGTGTCGTGTGTCGTTAAACGGTTTAAAATTTTAGACTATAATAATTTTAGGTTGGCACTGAATATTTTGGGCTCATAGGTAAACGGAAAGGTTTGGAACCTCTATTCTCCAGATCTCTTGGCCAATATAATATTATCATGGCCATGGATTTTAACCTTTCAACCCTTTGTTAAACAGCTGGATTAGAGTCCGATTTTTAAAAACGGCCAACCTCGATATTTACTCAAGTACAATATTACTCAAGTTCCTGAAGAATTTTGTTCGGAGATGGCATAAAAGTCACAGCATCTATTAGGTGAAATCATGGGGCTTAGAGGCATATTTTTCTGGCCAAAATTTTGTTAAAGTCGTTTAAACAACACCACTTTCAACTCATTAATAGATACATCAGAATTCGTTTATTTATTTATTATTATTATGAACTAAATAATGAGATTCTACATATAAATTTATATGATTTTGAAATATCGAAATGAAAAGGAGGTGAAAATTTTATTTTTAAATGATTGAAGGTGAAGAGATTAAAAGATGAAAGAAGAAATTTGGTAACGAAAAATTTATTTGATGTCATTTTCCTGTCTTTTGTAAAATATCCTGTATCCTGTTAGTCATCACATTTTGGCATTCCTTCAATCTTTCTTTTTCTTTCTATACAAAAATTTTTTTGTAAAATATACGATTTAGAAAGAAAGAAAGAAAGAAAGAAAAAGGACACATATCATTAATCCTTCTCAACATTTTTCTACATCATTCATATAGGTTTATGAGTTGTGATCAAAAAAAACATATTACATAAATAATGGAAAGATAATCATTGTACAGGGAACTCTTATATGTTCATTAGAAAGTCTAAGAAAATTATATACTTCTATTAGTAAGGAGATCTCGGTCTTAATTCTTGAATTAGAATCGGCAATGCACCCATTTATATCGTCGCTTAACAAGTCCGGCATATTTAGCTGAGCAGCCACTTTATTGTAATCAAAAGTATCCCTATCCGCTACATATGCTCTTTTGCCTCCGCCTCCAGACCAATTTCTAGAAAACAGTACTTGACTATTGACATGTTGACACATGTGCATCACCAAGAGCGTAGTTAAAAGTAAAGTTTTAAATACTAAATGGGTTCTAGGAAATTTCCCGCTATTTAAAGTTTTTCTGGCATTGGATCTTTGATTCCCATTTGAACACAGTGTAGGAGTCGTCATCTCAATTCTTAAATTCTAATTCAATGTTAAATAAAAGTAATAATTAAAATATAATAGATTAAAGTTTAAAAAAATTAGCTTAGGAAATGTTAAGTAATGGAATCTATTACTTGATAACCATAAAAGTTACATGTTAGATATGATATAGGATTATACGAATTAAAGTCAATAATCAGTGTATCCATTTCTAAATAGTATTACTAAATAGGTTAAAATTATATCAATAAATACGTTCAAACCTTCTTACCGTTGATTCGAAATAAATATTTTAACTCTTATACATATAAACTTTTACCAATATCGAGTATATAATGAAATTGCGTTGACAATATGAAAATCATATTCAAAGAAACCAAAAGGCAAAGTCATTAACGTTCTTAACGTTTCCCGGATGATTAGGATATCTCAAGATCATTTCTTAGAAACTCCTTCAAAATAGCCAAATAATAACGAAAATGGTGGACCTCTATGATTCTTCAGCTACAATCCTCCAGCATCTATATTCTCTATGCTCACTTTTTTACTCTGCGCGACGTAAAAAGTGTTAATAATTTTTTTATGAGGATATCCCGTCTAAACTTAATAATTTTTAAAATTTTAATAGAATATATTCAATATTCTCTCTTTAATTTTTGTTGCTTATATACATAAAAACACACTTTTGCGTAGGTTTTCAAAACATGTCTTTTTTCTTCTAATGAGTACAATATATTATTATTATAAATTCATAAACGATTTTAATATTAATTTTTTTAAACTTTTATATACAAATAGATGACGGATATAGCGGGGTTTTATATTAAATTAAAAATTTTTTCATTAATTATTTATATATAACTTTATCTTTCAATTTCATTTTGATAATTTAATTATCATCTCTATGGCATATTACATATAATTTTGGCTTTTGTATTATTATTTTTTTGCCTTTTATATACTATGTAAATTGTTAATTTAAATTTAAATTAAAATGAATTTTTTAAACTGTATCCTAATGGTTATATATTAGGTTAAAAAAGACATTTGAAAACATTAAATTTATAATTAACATACTTGTATTATCTATAATCTATATAAAAAAATATAATTAAATTTTTTTTAGTAAGGTATAATCGGCTATGCAATTGGATAGACAAATTTCGGTTGACATTCTTTGTCGAAGGTGGAAGCCTTCCGTTTGGATCAACCGTGATCAAACGTAACCTTTGCCCTAATTGTTTTGAATACATTTATGGGCTTGTGGTCCAAATGAATTACAAGGTGTCTGAGACTACCGCCTAATATTTCAATATGTCTCATCGGTCATTGGTTTTCTAATCGAACTACTTTATAATTTTGCAAATATATTCTAGCATATAAAAAATTCCACGCCCCCACTCTGATGTTTTTTTTTAAAAAATTTCGCTCTGAACCTTAATGTAGTTTTCTCCCATATATTTTATTTTATTTTATATCAATTTTAAAATGACTACAAATTTTATCTGTGAATACATTCTGAAATTTGTATCGCCGAAGTGGCCTAGTGGGTTAGTGAGGCATGCTTGGAACAGAAGATCCCAGGTTCAATCCTGGTAAGGAACGTAAAAATTTTAAAGGTTTTTCTTCGGGTGACTGATGTGTAAAGGCAATATAAAATAATATTCTGAAATTCGTAGGATATGATAAGTAATCCTAAACATGCTGGAACACATTTCCGGTATGATTTTTTTTAAATTTTTGAAATGAGCAGATTGACAAACAATGGCACTTTAAATGAAAAAAAAATAAGGAACCTTGATATGGGCTTTTTCTTGATAAAAATGGGGAGAATATAGGTATAAGGAAAGGAGTCAATTCTAATATTTCAAATGCTGACTTGCATAATATGCCTAATCTTTGGAGATTTAATGGCTAGATAATTCTATGCTTAGACTTTCTGTTTTTAGATCCTGAAATAATATTAGAATCTCAAACATTTAAGACCAGTGTCCAGCCGATTTTGTCCTACCTTAATTTATGAATTTCTAGGTAGAAATCCCAAATTTTGGTTATAATTTTTTTTTTTAATCATAGAACTTTATATATTTGGTTCCGATATGCTTAAAATATGCTTAAAGGTGTGCACTCATTTTCTATTAGAAATTTTACAGAGAAAAAATGGCGATCAGAATGATACAGTCTGTTTATTTAATTTTATATGTGGATGAAAATAGAAAAACGATAAAGAAAGATAAGTAACTGTATACCATTGGAAGCCCTTGTAAAAGAAAGGATAAAATATTGGAATATAGATCCTTTTTAAAAATTATATAGAGCCTCAAGTCAATTCGAGTATTTTAACGAAAAAAATATGCTACTAATTTAGTAATTCTAAAGGAACATCTAGTAAAAAAAAAAATGGGAAAATTTAACCGAACAAAATTTACATTTTAATGTGAATGAAGAATAATAAGACTTAAGAAAATCAAAATATACTTGCCGATATTGAAAAATATTATGATTTTTAAATAAATACAACGATTAAAAAAGAAACTATAATTTTAAGGAATAAAAGTTTACAAAAATTTATCTTTTGAGTTTCTGCACTTTAAAATTCCGTTCTTTAGAGAAATTAAAAAGAAATTTGATAAATTTATTAAGTTATCGAAATATATAGAAATTGGGTGTAATTATTTATTACTTTGCAGTTCTTAATTAACACGAGTATAGTATAGCCTATAATTCATGCTTAGTTAATTTATACAGATATTTGAATCTAACAAAATTCGTTAAAGCACATATATTTTTTATAATAATGATAATAATAATCACCTAAAAATGGGAGATTACATAAAATGATCTAAGAATACAGAATAATGCATCGTTAAAAATATGAAATTGTTATATAAAGTCTTGCAAGATAACGCTGATACAATTTTTTTTTAAAAAACGTATTTTAATAAACCAAATTTAGATGGTTAGTAGATTTCTTGGGACTTTTGAGGCTAAAATAATTCAAAGAACTTCCTTAAACTTGAAATAGTTTTTTATAGTTATTTGTGATCAATAGTCTACCAGAGAAAAGGAGGTTTGGATTCTTAAACACTCTTGTTATTGTAAAATTGATGATTAGATTTAAGAGATAGTAGTTTATCCCTCTAAAATATCCTAAAAATTTAAATAATCTGAACTTTCTAAATGTTCTTAGAAGATTTGTATGCTCATTTTTATCCCCTCCCCTATAATATTAAATACGATAAATTTTAAAAAAATAATTAAATTAGTATTAATATATTTTAAATTACTTGATATAGTCTACAACGATTTATATAAGAATATTTAATTTTGGATAGTAATAATAAATTTTAATTTAATTTAAAGAAAAAAATAAAAATTTTTAAGTTATTTATATATATATTTTTTTAATTTAAATTTATTTTATAATGTTTATATTTTTATATTTAATCTGGTATCATAATTATTTTTTTTGAATATTTTTATTTTTACTAATATTTTAATTTTATAAAAAAAAAATGATATATTATAAAAATAATGCAAATTGACACTTTTACATATATATTATATATATAATTTAATATAAAAACACATATTAAAATTTACTGGTTTTATTTATATAGTTGTCCTGAAATATAAAAACTGAATACAATTTTTAAATGAATAATATCTTCAACGATTTAAAAATATAATGATTTTAAGTCACGAATTATATTTATTTATTTAAATAATTTATAAAATTGTAGCCCTACTAAATTTTATCAAATGTGCCAACATAGTAAAAATCCCTAGTAAATAAATATTTTTAAACTTTCCGACGGCAAAATGAGAAATGACGTGTAATAGGCAATATCTACATAACGAGTGTGGTGAGGGGGGGGGAGTGGTTCTTATAATTTACAGGGACTCTTCATACAAATTCTCTATTCTATATACATAGTTATAAAAGATAACTATCTATTTATAGCACGATAAGTCAAAATAATAGAAACCTAATAAACCTATACCTAAGCTATAGTTAGAATTCCTCTTATAGATTAGGTGGGTTAATATATTCAATCATGAAACTTAATTTTAAAACCATTAAATCATTAATAAATATAAATAAATTTCCTAGAAATTCAATTCGTTTATACTTGTAATATATACATAAAAATTTTCCTAAAATGTGTCAGCATGAGGGTGAAAATATTCAACTAATATTCAATTTTTTTTTTTAAATGTCTAAATAGTCTGTTAAATGCTATATTCTACATACCGTTACTATATATATATGTAAATTTATAAAAGTGATATATATACATTTTATTACCATATATTTATGATATTAATGATGTTTCTGTGTTAATATATAACACATATATTATACATACATATATATATATATAACAAAAAAAATTTCCCAAACATTAATTTTGAAGAGGTAGCTAAGGCTTCAGTATAATGTAAAAGTAATAGCTTAAATATTGAATAATTTATGAATTTTCATTAAAGCCTATGACACTAAAATAATCTCATATTTCTTGTATATATATATATAATTTATTCAAATTTTATTTTTTATTTTAATTTTTTTTTGTAAGGATTTATGGGATAAATAGTATTAAAAAAATAGAAGAATATAGTTTTTCCTCTCAAACTTTTCACCATTTGTCCAAAGATAATTCCTAACTTTTGGCTTGGTAACTCAAATAGTGTCTTCCCTAGGATTAGCATACAACACATTTAAAATGCATATATATTTTCAATATTTTCAATATTTTTTTCCGCAGAAAAAAAATTTTGTTTTTCAAAAAAAATTATATGACATTCTCATTTATCCATAATTATAATTATTGAAGCCTTTGATAATTAACTATTTGGCACTACTTGACATATTAAAAAACTAAAAAGGTAATTGGGTTTCCCTATTACCATCATTCAAAGATTAAAATCCCTTAAAATTAAGATTATATTTTATTTAATTTTAAAAAACGTCACTTTTAATTAAGTGTAAATTTGCTTTTTTTTCTAGTATATTATTTTATATTTTTGAACATTTTTTTC